AAGCAAATTTGCAAAATAAAATCATTATGGGTAAATAGATGGAAATTCTTGAATTGTGAACAGCGAAAACATCAGGGGGGACTTATTTCATGAAAATTGACTTTTTATTAATTTTATTTATTTGCATGTGATTGTAGATAATAATCAAAGGAAGATATTTTAAATAACTATTTGCATTTTTATCAGATTGGCCTCCTTATAATTACTCACCAAGCAGTTATAGTAATTATGATCAAAGAAAGAGGATGTGGCACAAGTTCACAAGTCTGATCATTTTATTCTATCATCATTTACTGGGATAATAAAGATGGACCTTCATTTTTTAAAGTCAACTTAATTAAAACGATGATGAGAATGATATAGCCAATTAGGACATTGATCTGTTATATTACAAGCACTATAAGTTAGCAAGGGAGATAACAAAGCAACAGTCCACTATCAGAGGTGATGAAGGAACCCTAAAAGAAATAGGGGGGGGGGGGAGTGATTAATCTAATCTTAATTTTCACTCGAGTTAGTCAATTTCATTGAAGCATATAAAGACTTTTTTTGGTCTCCTTTCCTGGATAGGCGACAATACTCAAACCATCCATAGTCCATCCCAATTTCCTGTCTCGTCGTTGTCTGCTAAGGCGTTGAAAATGTTGGTAGTGAGGTCCTTGTCTGCTGGGAACCTCCACAATCCTGTGCTTCTTTGAATCGAAAACAAAAACTCGGCCATCATCTACATAATCCGGTTCACTGTTTTGATTGACTCTAATAATTTTAACTCTAGAAGTATCGCCAATAGAGGAGTCTGAAGAGGAAGATGAGGTGCTACGGTGAATAGTGCTGCTGATACTGCTGTCAGTGGTACTACTTGATAAACTAGAACTAATTGAAGAGTCTGTGCTGCAAGCACGGTATCGATATGTACCCGAGGGAGCTTGAATCATCTCGGGTTCGTAGTAGACTGGCCGAGGGGACTGTTGCCCACTACGAGATCTTCTTCCTCTTACCAAGGAGTGTGAACGAGAACGCTGGTAGTGGCGAGCAGATTTGCCTTTCATGACTTCGCTATCGATGAATATGGTTTGTACGTCCCGGCGTATGCTCGAACCCTGTCGCCTAATTCTGCCATCGTGCGGCGAGGAAATAGATCTAGGAAAAGGACGATGAAGATTTAGATGCCGATCATCTGCTTTCTAGATTGTCAAATAAGCATTATATCATACAACAAATATTTCTGAAGTGCTAAAGTGCTCTGGATCGTACTAGTAGGTTGTATTATTCGTAAAATTCTAGAGATATAAAAATTGTAGCCATCGCTCCAAGATTTCAGTGCCCACTCATACCAACAACAAATACTTAATTAGTTAAACTAGGTAATATTAAGTTGGCAGATCTAAAGGTACAGATTTGCACAAAAGACAATTTGTAAAGACCAGGGCAGTCAATGTCATTAAGAATAAAACTGTAAGATAGCGTCCAAATATTGAATGTAGGAGAAATAAGATTGCTCTGGTACTCTCGATACTACCATCTTGAATGGGTGAAGTAGGATTTAACGACACTCACTCCCCCCCTCACTATTTGCTTGTGATGCTCCAACCCATTTCACACTCTTCCCATTTTCAACTGTTATGAATTAGACCTTTTATGTGATTACAACAATTTTGTTATTTTATAATAGCCGTGCTAATCTAGTTATGAAGTATATTGCCGGCCTTTCGACTACGCATTAGCACTTAATGGACTAATCATGCAACTGGGATCAGATAAAGATTTCGAATCACCTTGTTTAAGATTGTTTTCAACCGCAATTTGATGTATAAAGTTTTGACATCTATTTTCCTTTCGTTTTTTTACATTGGAAGGTAAATAAATTCACGGTTTTTTGAGCGCTTATCAATTGTGGTTATGAACTATTATGAACGATGTTTTATTCAAATGATTTACTAATATTACAGTAAAAGGAAAAGGTGTAAGCCTGCTCGATTGTAAACAGGTTCCACCATAAATTAGAACCACTTTTCTTGTCAAATTTATCCTAATTGAAGTTTTCCAAAATTGTCGAGAAAAAAAGGCTTGAACAAGGCTGAAACGAGGAATCTCATAAGCGCTCGAACATTAGGAAACGTATGGACGTTCTACTGATCCCATAGGGGAGCAAATGAGGTAGCTTAACCCATTTTAGAGCCATTTCAAACGTGAGGATATTATCACAGAGAGTTTTAAGCTTTAGTCAAGGCCTATTTGCGTATCATCCCGTCACGAAATCTCTCGAAATGCAGTTTGAAGAACAAAGGGATTCAAATTGCAGATTGGGTCATATTCGAAACTTCGTTCAAACAAATGTATTCTTTCTATTAATTTCGATACTGAAATTTGTGTACCCCATCTTAAATTTACTTCCTTGTTACTATCAATGAATAGGTCATACCCATCAGCCGATGTAGACATAACGAAAATTTCGTAGTTACCGAATGTTTTTTTATGCTGTAAAACGCCTGGCAAATCAACTTCTAGCAAAGTTTCTAACAAATCATTCAACAGAGGTTGGAATTTCTCAAAAGAAATTGAATTTTCCGAGGTAAACCTATTCGGAAAGCTTGTCTCCATTTTACCTGCATATATATTTAATCTATCTCACAAAACCCGACGACATTAATGTTGGGAAATTGTAAATAATTGTTCGTACATTTACACTTGTTCATTAACTTAAAATATTGTGCTGAAATATAAACCAAGTGTAAAAATTCTGTCAATGAGCTCTTTTAGACACGCATAATAGAGTGATGGTAGATTTTGTTAAGAATCAAGCCTTATCTATTTGTTTAAAGAGAATTTGTTGGAGATTTCGATGAGAGTGGATTGAGTCCTCTAGCCTATTGACATGGGCACTGATCTCCCTCCCTCTCTCTCTCTATGATTCCTCTTCTGATTTGAAAAGTGACCAATATATTGTTTGGCTTTATCATTAAATTAATTGTGATAGTGATGGGAAACACATCGGCTTCTAGGTGAGTGTAGATTGTGAGTAGGAAGAAGTATATGGATAGAATTATTATTCCAATAATTTCGCTAATTTAGAGTTAACAATGGACATTATATTTTTCGTAGTGCATATTACTTAACAGCCTTTCAGCGACCTCCATTTAGGCTTGAACAGTATGCTGTTCGATTGCCTCTGCAACTGGAGCGAACAAAATGTGCGAGATTCGAAAATGGAAGTAAATGCATACCCTCAATTAGAAAAAAATCTAATTATAAAAGAGCAGTGGTGTAAATTGAAAGGCTTTTTAAGAAGAAGAAAAATTGCCATTTATTTCAAAATTTTCCATTTGCCAGTCATAATCTCCTGATTTATAACAGTTGACGATTCATGTTTAAATGATTTGGAAGTAAGATTTCGGAGATATTGACCACAAAATGGCTCATGATTGTTTATTGAAGAAGTTTTATTAATGATTTCAGCATGCTAAATTATCATGCGAGAAATGAATGTCTTGTTAGTATATTTTTTGTCTAGTTTTCATTGTACTTAGGGTTGTGTATTGTCTCATGATGAATTTATTGTGGAACAATTTGAAAACAATAATAAAGAAATCGGTTAAATTTGCTAAAAATACAAGTTTAAGTAAAATTGGCAAATTTTCAAAAACGAATATTTAATGATACTATTTAAACAAACAATGCGACTAATCTATAAAATACTCTCAGGAAACACAGTCTAAAAGTTGAAAGGACTTTTCGACAGATATGATTTTTGAGGTTGAATACTGAACGTAATAAAACTAAAGTAAGACAACAAAACAAACAGTTTTAAAGGCAAGAAATTTACCCATCTAATGGAAGGTATTGTGTATTCAATTATAAATGTGGCTGGATGCCACCAAGATCTGAATATCGCAGATCACGAGGAAGAAAATCATGAAAATTGAACCTAAGCATTTGGGTACTAATGAGAGTATTTTTTAGAATAAGCAAATACAGTTACTCCAATTAATTCGTCTCGACTCCAGTTTCTATTGCAAATATTTTGCTTTATACTTTACTGAAAATAAAATTTTTTATTCATTTTCATTTCAAAGAGGGAAAGTACTAGACATTTGCTATTGAAATTTATCGATTTTTAATCTGTGATATAAATCCAATTAGCGTTGTTTTTTAAAGTGAATAAATACAATTGTGTGGAAATGCGTATTATTCAAGATATAAAGTACATATGGGTTGATTACATATGATTGGCAATGACAATAGACTTGTTATTTTCGTTATCTTACAATATAAGGTCATAAATTATAAAATAAGGTGAAATTTTTGCCACCTTATACTCTATATAAATATTTGCAACAACAACTTAAAGTACTTTGAACTATGGTTGCAAAAGAAGGAAATAAATAAAGAGAAAATAATCTAAAATGAGGTCAATGCGTTCATATCAATGCCGCAAAACAATGTCAGATGTACAAATTGTCTTATTAAAGTGATATCACATTCATTCTCTGACATTGATGTTTAATATTATTATCATTGATTTTTAAATATATTACAAAATTGGGAAAAAATAAAATATCTCATTTTCTAGACTCAAGTAGATCACCACGGATAATAATTAGCGATAACACATTTTTAATAATTTTCCAATATTTTCAGAGTATTAAATTTTCTGACTTTTATGCGTGTTAAGATACCGAAATCCAAGAATAAGTTTTATATATTAAATTAGTAAAATTACCGAATCCAACATCAAAATATGTGTGTCAAAAATAAATATCATGAAAAGTCAATATTTTATAAATTAATATCTCCAATAGTCAAACTCCAAAATCAACCAGGGAATCAATTTTTATCCAAATTTATATGTGAATATATTTTCCCTATATAATCCTACTGCTTAGCTATGAAAGTATATGCTTTAATTATATTAGTGTTTAGAATGACATAAACAGGTAAAATCTTAAAGTTGACAGAATTTAACTCACGGTGACATATTCAGGTGATCCCTATTCACGATACGATTCTGGTCAACTGAGTTTTGAACTCGTCTACATCAATGTAATTCATCAAGCCTATGTTATATCAGAATCACACACGCTACTAATTTGATTAAGCGCACCACTAAAATTCATCATTAAAGATTTGCGAAGCAAACAAGACTTTTTCCTAAAAAATTTTATTATTCTTCAATAGTTTAATCCCTTTAGTTCTTGATCTTAGACATATTATTAATTTGTAAATGAAAAAAAATTGATTGAAATTTTCAAAAGTTAGTGAACTAACAGTGAATAATGATTAGCAAAGTGGAATGAAAATCTTTGTAAAGCATTATCTAAATTGGCATTTGGGTGGACATGTGCCCAAGGTAATTTTTTTCCACTCCAATCCCAGTATCCAACAACACAGATTCTCTTTTTGAGTAAAATATTGCATTGGCTTGTTTAAATAGAAATCGCAAAATTGAGTGTTTAATCATTCACATATTTTGCCTATTGCAACTCCTTTGGTCTACTAAAGTCTCTCTTCTCTGAAATAGTCTTCCTTGGCATATATTTAAAGGTGACGCGGTCAAAACTGCTGTAATGGTCGTTTTAGTAGGGATATGGGGGGAATTTTTGCAAATTTTATATTCTTAAGAATTTTTTAAGTCAGGTTTTACTTGACAGATTTTGAAAAATAAGCGTTCAAGCATAGTGACTCCGTTCGAATCTTGCTATTACTAATGGATTGGATTGTGATTATAGTCTTTTTGTAAGACGTATTTCAGAATTTGATTGAAATTTGTCTGAGGCTACATGCATCACGTCAACCCTATGGTTTTCTTGAATGGACCGATGAAATTTGTACTTTTCAACATCGGGCAGGTACGCAAGACTAAAAATGCAATGAAATTCATTATTGGCTTAACATTATTCAATGACAAAATCTCTCTTATAAATTTAAGATAATAAATTGTGGGACAGGTCATCGCATGCCTGCACTCCAAGATTGGGAGGTGCGACCGTACAAACAGTGACCAATCCTGGGAGGTGCGACCGTACAAACAGTGACCAATCATTAACCTCTGTTTACCCTAATCCCCCATCCTGGTGACCAATCATTAACCTCTGTTTAACCTAATCCCCCATCCTGATCATAATTTAGCTTCCTGCGTGAACACTTTATCCGCAATATACATCCTAAATAATCGTGATCCGTGCTACACATCTGTTTCCCTTATAGCTGGGCTATAGCTTAGCTGGTTCTGGGAGTCTAGCTAGATGTTTGAGAATCTGCCATAGAGATTTCTGAGTCGGTCAGGCTTTACTAAGGTAGCAATCCGCTACAGAATATAATATAATACATTGTAATTTCTATTCCCAAGATTTTATTTAATATATACTACAAACGAATTTTCTCAGACTAATTCCTGTCAGCTAGAAAATTATTTGCCTGAATTTTTTGCTTTTTCAGTAAGATCAAAAGTTGTAATAAAACGCAATCAATTTCAATATTAATTTAAGGTTCAATGGCACATAATGAAGTTAGCGCATCATATTTAATGTCGTTATGTGGATGAGAGCTAACTCCCTGTGTGTAACGCTATTTGGCAGATGAAAGGCGTCACCGATGAAAGTCACTCACACCTGTACGCCTAATCGATGCCAATTTACAACCAATAAGTAAATAGGCTTTTCATTTCATCCTAAGACGTTGAAGGCTATGAAAGCGGAGATGAACTTTGGAAATAAAATAATCCTTTTGGGCCCTTTCATGCAACAAATTTTAAGGAATAGGGTATTAGTTGATACAGGCACTAAATTTATTATTAAAATAGTGTCATTTCGAGAAAAGCACTGACCTTTGCCACTCTTTTCGTATAACATGGGGATGAACTTATTAATTTCTAAATGTCACAGCTCATATCACATTGGGTTTTCACTAGGGATTATCTAATATGTACATTCATAAAGCTTAGCCAATACTGAAGATGCGAATTGTGCATATGGAAGGAAAATGCCTTTATAATGGGTAAATTCTGACAGAAGTATCGATTTTTTCCCAGTATCTAATTAAGAACCCATTAACGGTCACAAGAAATAAGAATGCAATTAAAGGCCAGATTAAAAGTTGGCAAGATTACAGAAAGTTCACCAAAACATGACAGTCCTTATGAATTTTGACGGGTGTTTATCGTTGAAACTGAGAGTAGCTAACCGTGTCTAGACTCATTGCGAAGACATGTGGTGCGAATTATTGAGTTAGTCAAGAGTAAAGGGAATTAATTGAGGCGTTTTGCAAAATCAATACAAGCGGATTTGCCACAAAATGACAGTTCTTTATAACTTAAAGTAGAATATTCCGAGGTGATTGATTTGTGCAGAGATACAAGCCGCATATAGTTTTCCTCAATTGATCATGCAATCAATATTAACATCCCACTGAAAGACTCAAAAAATATAGTACTGGTTTGCTATAGG